GGGGGGGGGATTGTTGCTGTTATAGTGAAGCCCATTACTAAACCCATTACAAAAAAAATCTATGGGTGTTTTGATCAAACGGGACTTTGTCGAATGTAAAGTATAAACCGCTTGTTTGGTTGTGGTAAAAAATTCGTATCTGAACACTTTGTAAAAAAATCGGTTATTACCATATATTGTTAGTTTCTTGGATGTCTCTTAAATATTAGACTATAAAAAACTGTTCTAGACTCTTATGTTTACAACTTTCATAGTAAAGCCGTGAGTTTTTACTTTTAATAATACTAGTGTGGATGGAAGGATATTACCAAGCATCTGCATGATTTAAAATTTTACAAAAATGTCGAACATAGAACAGTCTAGAAGAACACATGGGTTATTAAGTTTTTTTTTTTTAATTAATGTCTTTGATATTAGTGAATGTTAGTTACCTTTAGCAGATCAGCGGCGAGTTTCAGTACATTATTGGCCAAGGTGAGCTGGTCCTTGCTGTCGGGCCGCTGCTCCATGGCGAGGTGCAAGTTGATCTGCTCGGTGAGTATGGCGGAGAGGCAGCCGCGGTACTTGCGGTTGACGTTGCCGCCCAGCGTCAGCAGCCGCAGCAGGTGGATGCCCAGCCCGCAGCTCCACACCATCGCCTCTAGCACCCAGCCGCACTCCAGCGTCACCGACTCCTGGACAGTCGCAGCAAACATATACTAGCTTCCGCCCACTACTCTCTCCATGTCAAATTAAAAAAGTCAGTAGGCTGTGTTCTTCCAGACTATCCTCTACATCTATGCAAAATTTCATTAAGATCCGTTCAGTAATTTAGGCTAAACTCTAACATTCATTTTTAGATTACTAATCTTACTAATATTAGAAAGTGTAGATTGCTGGATGTTTATTAGAGTGTATAGCCTCAAATGCTTAACTCCATGAAATTTAACACAGATGTTAAGCATAATCTAGAAGTACACATAGGCTACTTACATATTAATGCATAATTACTTTTTTTAAACTAAAAGCCTTACACTTACGACACGCTATAGACTATATAATTACACGATATTAATAAATTGCAAAAACGTGTGTTGCGTCAATGGAACATTTGACTCTACGCGATCGTCACTGACCAATAGCAAACAAAAATAATGTCTTTTCCTATTTTAACTGGACTCCAGTAGGATTATAATGTTTACCCTGAGCAGCTGCGCGCTGACGCAGGCCAGCAGTATGAGGGTGAGCATGAAGGCAGACGACACGATCACGTCCACCGACCGCTGCGGCCCGCGCCGCTGCAACAGTACATTCCAAATATATGAACAACAAATAAAACACATCAAAACTATTGTAAACAAACAATATTCAATGAAAAGCGAAAACAATGTAGATATACTTTACTTAAATAATTTTGAATAGAAGCCTACGACTTTATATGACTATAATATTAACAAATAGTTTTACTAATATTAAATATGCGAAAATTTAGATGGATGGATGGAACTTTGTTAGAGTTGTTGAAATTTGGCATAGGTTTAGAGTATGTAAGTAAAGGCAAGTAGCCTATTTAGGCCATAGCCTGAAAAACCAAATAGGCTACTTGCTTTTATTTCTTTTAATTCTACGCAGATGTAGTCGCGGGTTAAAGCAAGTATATTTAATAAAGATACAATTTGAAAAGACAAAGAAAACGTATAATCCAGTGGTATAACTGACCCGTAAGTACGACCTGGTTGAGAGCCAGGTCTTGATATTCCTGACGGTGTTGAGCCTGAAGTGCGGCAGCTCCGACTTGCGCGCGCGCCGCGCTGACGTCAGGTGCGAGAACAGCTTCGCGTACAGGAAGCGCTGCTTCAGCGCGCGCT